CAAGCACTTTTTTGTCTCTATTTTGGATTTGATTTTACTTAATCGACAAAATTATATTTTAGTTTATTTAATTTACAAAAAAAATTGTTGTTTTCTAGTATTATCGATTTGGAGCCTTAAGTATCTGTTCATGTCTTATTTTCGACAAAAATTTTTTACTTACGTTACTATGTTCCCAGTGGCCTTGGTGGTCACTAGCAAAAGACATCTTCATCGAAAACGATTTTTTTTTTAATAACTTTTATCCCAAAAATGCACTACACTTACACAATATAAGTATTTTGAAGATACTTCTTTGCGAACAAGGATGACGATCGCGAAACTTTTTTAAACTTTAAACGGCGCTCTTTCTAATACATATATACAAATTAATAGTTAATCCCTGGGGATGGTTTAACGTAAATTAATACTACGAATGAAATTTGTTCTTTGAAATAACAAGGGATGATGCTACGCTTTAGAAACAATTGACGAGATTGGCGGTCCTCCCTTACGAGGGCCGGCTTTCGTGGAAAATTTCGACCAATAAAGGGAAAGCCAAATGCTGCACATCCCTTAGGAAAGGCCTTGTTCCTTATTATTCCAGGAAATAGATGCCAAATTCGGAAGTCTCGGCAATATTGACTTTACAATCTGCAAAATTTTGCATGAATTTTACGTGACTTTTCCTTTTATATTTCCAAAATATTGTTATTAGTAATAATTTATTAATTAGTAAACACTTAATTATTGTTTACTTGATAAACTTCGCTGAAAATGTCATAAAAACTGAATCGAGATTTTTTAATTGAAAATTTGTGTAAAAAAAAAAGGATTTATAATACTAAAATTTACAACAAATATTTTCCAGATAAAATTAATAATAAAAATTTTTAATAAAAAGAAAAGTCGGAAAATGATTTGAAATAGTAATCTGTTAATCTTTCGTAATCTATAAAACACTATAAAATCCTGTAGGTATCACATTCTAATTTTTAATAAGTCTGATTTGTTCTGGTTTCAAGGGTGTTATTCCATACGATGAACAAAAGGGGGATGCGTTTCTACACACCCTTATACGCTACCTAAAATATTCTAAATGAATTTTCAACTTCTAAAATGTATACAAGTCTTGTTTACAGTTTATAATTGTCATGCTACGCTTTTGGGAATATTTTTGTAGTATGAATAAAAAAAGGGAATAAAAATAATCACAAAAGTAATTATCTTCCTAAGTTTAGTAATTCTTCTTTCGGTTGTTAAATTGACAATACAAATCAAGCACTGTTTTCATTAATAACTGAGTTCATATACTGTTTCAACCCCTACTGATTAATAATGTTGTTTTTATTAAGCGATTCTCAAAAAGAATACGTAGAAAGATTTCATATCTGACGTCAACTTTATTCGAGGGTAGCTAATCGCGTTATGTACGCTTTTACGCCCCTAATTTACTAAATCAAACGTCAAAACAGTTCCAATATGTTCACTTATTATTATACAACCCCATTCCCCCATTGCAGAATTTAATATCTAGTATTATATCATTAGAAATGCGCATATTTAGGCGATCAGACGCCTAAAATGATTTATTTCGTACGCATTGTGACTTAATTGAACAAATTCATTCGCTATGGTCAAGGAAAAATCAAAATTAGTCGCTAAAAAGGCGAAAAATTGCCAAAATTACCTTCAGCCTGTTAAAAAACGATGAAAGTTTCCAGAAGTTTACATAGTTACATTTGGAAACAATTACAAAACAGTAAAGACAATTTTTAATAATAAAAAAAGATGAATGTCTCTCATTGTTTTTCTTTTGTTCAATAGATGAATCAATATACTAAACTCATTTAAACAAATAGAAAATCTATCAATAAGTCTTACCGATTCGTAATTTTTGGGGTAAGCCAACCTCCTACAAAATCGTCGCACATTATTTACAATATTATCACACATGATAACGATTCAAAACTCAACTGTTTTAATTAAAAAATATAACGTACAAGTATGAAACAAGCGACAAATAAGTATTGAAACGATTATATACACGAAACTGTAAAATGTATATTGGTCTTAATCACGCTGTATCCCTCTTAATGAACACCAACAGGTACTAGTTGTTATCAGAGATAAAATTATGTTTACAACGTAAACATAAACATCATTCTATTTTATATTGCATTAGGTACTTGCTCTTATCGGATTTAAGAATCATTCTGTGTTTATATTTTTGTTCGAGGATAGTATTGAATTTCACGTAAGTTATTTTTGTAAGAAAAAACTTTTTCTAAATTTTTTTGCAGTTACATTTTTAAAGTTGCAATATTTGCTGTATGTTGGGTTGCCTATATATTATATTACCAATTACGGTTTAATTGATTGCAAAGAGAAAAATTTAGATCAGCATCCCTAAGTACGTCTACATTGAAAAAAAAATAATATAAAAATGAGAAATATTAATTTTCACATTCACTACAATAAAAAAAATAATT